TTCGTCAAAATAGGATTTGCACAATTATTAAAGATGGATGCCGTCAAGATTTTGAGCAATGTTTCTGGAGTCGAAGTAGTCGTAATTGAAAATTGAGATAACGTTTTCTCACCGGATAGACTATGTTAAGTCAGGGAAGTGCGAAGTCTTCCTAAGCCATCCAAAATACTCTCCGTCAGCGAGGTGATTCATGTATACACTATGGCGGTCGCACCGGACATTTTGCCCATAAGGATTAGAAACGCAAGTCATCACATCCAAAAATGTAGCTTATTTTGTAAGGATAATAAAATGTTCTCTTCGATTGAGTTAAATCCTCAAATGTGGATGGTGCATAAAAGGGCTTAGTTTTGCAGCAACAACCGACTTCAGTTCCCTCTTAGTCAGTCATACCTAATTCAATGAGCGCAGTGTACTGCGAAATGAATTTTCTCTTATTCAGCGAAGATAAAGTGCACTAACACATAAAATCGACAAATCAACCGTCTGCATTCATTTTTACGGGCGCATCTTATCTACCCTTAGGTAGATATACTAATATTTAAGGTCTGACAAAATTACAAAAACAATTCAGAAGTGTGTGTAGACCCGGAGAAGTGCAGTAATTTACTCCGCATCTTGGTCCTCTGATTAAGATGTAATATTGCTGAGAAGCACGGTCGAAGTCTGACATCTTACTTGTTTTCCTGCGAGTTGATAAAATGATAGTCTCTCGCCGAAGTCGGCTACGGCCAGCATTTCGATTTTGCATGACCTGAAATATAATGCTATGGTTATAAAAAACTAAGTACACGAACCGAATAAAGTTCCATTTCAGATTCCAAATCATTTGGCTGGTGTTCCGATTGATTGTGGTTACTTCGGTTCCATCCTTAAAATTAGTAAGACACAAAAGAAAGCAACAAGCTAACTTGTTTACGAACCGATATTAACCCGTTCTGTAATCCAACGGCCAAAAGATTTCCGTCTGACGTCCAAGACAGTGCTAATGCTCTGCAAGGCATTTTTGTTTTGCTGACGGATTTCTGATCTGGTGCCCAAAATCCTACCACATTAGATGAAAGAAAATAATAAAACAATACCGATGTCCCCGATGGCACTGCTTGCAAGAAGCGATACCTTGGGATTGAAACTCAATGCTTGCACACTTTCGTTGTGACTTGACAGAGCTTATCAATTACGAAACAATATTACGTGTATTTTAGGAATCCTTCAAATGTCGCCGCTTTCCACACTATCACACATCTATCCAAAGACCCGCTGGCAAAGAACGAGCCATCAAAACTGTAATCGACACAAATAACTGTGTCTTTATGACCTTTCAATGCTTTTATTAGTGTGCCGCATTCTGCCCGGTGGATGAGAACCGAATTACCGCCGGCAACCACTAAGTGATGCCCATTTGGACTATAGCATAAGTCCCATACACTAAACTCCAATATCATATGGTAAATAAAATTTACCACACAGGGTTTCCGTCTTTGCCCTTAGCCTTCAGTGTCCATTTAGTTAAGCATTCCATCTCGAAAACAGATTTGTCTCTTGTTGTTATCGTAAATAATTACCGAAAGACCCAATTATATTCCAGACTGATGACCTTCAGTTTTTACGTCAAGAGAATAAAACAATCAGTGATGTAGTTTATCAAGCGTCTAAGAATCAGTGTTTGAGGCTCCCGGTTATTAAAAGAACTCGAGCTCCTCATCGAAGGGCCTTTACAGTGCACCTTAGTCCGGTAATGTTCTAAGGACGAACACTTCCTTTAAGAGTCAATTGGCAAACAAATATTTTCGGTAATTCATCATCAGGTCAGTACATTTACATGGGTAATTATCAGTCAATTTGTCTATAGGACATAAACGGCTATCCAGAGCGATTCATTCTCCGGAATATTAGAGAGTGTGCCACAAAACCTGCCGTTGCAACTGCAGAGAAGAAAGACTTATTTCTAAGACTGCCTTTTCCAGGAGACGCAGCGAGCGAATTAGTGAGACGACATCTTAGGACAGCTCTCACGAGTGTCTACCCCGCAGCGAATTTGCGAGTATTCTTCGCAAATTCCCCCCTACTACAGTTGGGGGACAAAGACCGGCTGCCGTTACAGGCCACATCCATGTGTATTTATTCATTCACCTTTTCCTGTGGAGCGAGATATATTGGCCGTACAAACAGGCGTCTGGAAAAGAGGATGCGCGAACACATGCCTGCCTGGCTAGGTGGAGGTGAACATCGATCGATTTCGAGTTCAACTTTCGCACATGTAATCGATACGAACCACCAAGCCGACGCTAAAGAGGCTTTTAAAGTTATCTACCGGGCACCGGCACACTAATCTAAAGGCCTGCGCAAACGGGTGCTAGCCACAGCCGAAGCAGTAGCTATTCAACTGGCGAACCCAGCACTCTGTTGTCAGAAGACGCTGACACAAGCAGTATGTCTGCCCAGACGGTGATCGCACGCCGTCCCGACGCACTGAGAGCAGTCACACGCACTCACAGCGTTTACAATCTAACCGGAAGCCCTCTTCTTCCCCCCCCCCCCTCCCACCCCAACTCCACCCTTCTCAACACGTTGACTTCGTCATGTGGGTGGCGTGGAAACGTGGAGTCCGATTAACCCTGCTCCCGAGACACATTAATATCCTGTAGACAATTAAACTGATCATTACCCATGTAAATCTACTGGCCTGATGATGAATTACCAAAAACATACGCTTGTCAACCGACTCTTCAATTGTAATATGGGAACTTTCGCAGAACTTCTTTTTACGTCTCAGTTGAGAACGATGTAGTACTGGAGGTGGGGATTTCAGTACTGCATTGACTCCTCATTATTTAAGAATTCGGACAGGGGCAATGGTTTAATCACTCTACAGCGATCTTGGTCAGCGGTAGAACGGGCTATCGGGCGGTAACGAAGACACTGCGAGGTAGCAGACGAACTCTCTTCAAAGAGGGAAAAGTCATTCAATGGTGACTGCTGAATAAAAAGGGTTCGTGAGCAGCAAGATGTGCCTGGTTGTTGCAAGACGATATAACTCTATCGACTAGTTTTGAGATGCTCTTATTCGGTTGTTCAGTTTGATTCGAAATTATAACTAATGGATACCTGATTAAATGAAATACAAATTAGTCTTTCAAAGATTTACGTGGCTGACTTCTTCTCTAACGATCTCTAAGGACCCTGCATTTTGTTAAGGACCTCCATTCCACGAATAAGTGTAGAGATAGGACCGAAGTGCATCAGTTGCAATTAATTCGAACATAATCGGTGGTTGTTCTCAACCAGATTTTGAAGAAGTTCTCGAACAGGAAAATTCTATTTGTATGCCTTTGCAATTTTTAGTTATAACTTGGAAGGCTTAGGTAGGAATCACATCTTAGATCCTTAACAAAGCGGCACTATAAGCGATTTAATCTCCGGAACCTGCAGACAACATGAATATTGGCTCCGAAATGATATCACTGACAACCGGGATTTCTGTGCGCTAACCGTACGATTATATTTATAAACGCAAGCACCGGCCGCAAAATCTTAGTACTGACAAACAGGTGGTCACTTGTCTGACCGCTTATTATGACATGATCAGGCAAAGGATGAGAATTGTTCGTGGTTCGTTATGCAGCAGACAAATAACATCAACTAATAATCACAGCAATTGTATCTAATGCCGGTTTACTGGCAGTGTTAAGGAAAGATCAAGCACGGATCTGGCTAACTGGAAAAAGCTCCTGAGGAAGTATGTATAGGCGATGAAGTTTTGGATAGTTAAATAGAGAAAAAATGCGGTCCGAGAAATGGCGCCAGCCAAGAAAGGGAATGGTTAATAGTTTATTGTGTTTTCAGTCTTGGAATGGAGACTCTCGCACCGAACAGAGTGTTTGGGAGAGCAATTGCTCGCTGTCGGCTGAAAAGGTCTTCCGTAGTGTTTCGAGCTGTAGAGTCAGCACCACTTCACACAGGATAGGACTATGCAGGGTGATCAGAGACCGCGAACTCCACCAATACGGAAGATTTATTCGCGGAATCAGCACCTAAAATTTTGCAAGTCTTTATAAATGCAAAAAGACAAGTAATAGTCCTATTGAAAGAAGAATAATTTGCAGCATTTTCACATTACTGCTCTAGATTGCGATTGTGTTCACAAAACGAACCGACAATATTTAACGGTACGTGCTAGAGGAAGAAATAAGAAAACCTCCCAGTTACTGTTGTGACGGAGATGGTCAAGATGGTTTGAAGTATTAAGCAGATTAAAAGAACGACCATCTATAAGATTAAACATTGAAAATAGTCGCTCTTTCTAGTCGAACGAGCCGCAAGGGATAAAGGTTGTACGTCCGCTACCTTCTTGGTAAGTCAAATTCTGTCCAGGTCTAGCGTACATTTTATAAAGGCGCATCCTAATATCGCTAGTTTTAAAATTCCGGTGGATAAACCCAGTCGTTCTACGTGCTTCGGAGACCATCAGGGCGTAGTGCTCTAAAAGATTAGGACTTTTGGAGTGTGATCCACCCAGATCCTTAATAACTCCAAGCACATTTGTGTCGTGACCGTCAATACTTAGTGGAAGCTGCTAGTCGTCACCAGCCACTATAACTGAGCATTTATGTCAAAAGAGAGAAAGGCGCCATGAGCATGTAGCGGGTAAGCGGGGATGGCGTACGCTCAGAACGCCACAACTTCAGGGCATATCCCAAGTTGTTAGAAGCAGGACGCCATTTGATTAGTACACTTTATTCTGTACAGAATAGTGGAGGGGAAAGTTGACAACCGGACGAGGATGCGTCCGGCACCGAGCAGGCGGCGTCCGCGGGAGCGACGAGCCCTGTATCACCGAAGATCGCCGCTGAAAACTTATCGTTGCAGATTGTTTGCTCTATTGTTCTGGACTGTTCCCGCCTGTCTTAACAATCAGCGATAGGAGTTGCGTTGATTGGCTCCGAGCCCACGCGAAGGTAGTGACAAGCATCGCGTGGTGCAGGCAGAGGATCGACCGAATGCGTGGTGCAGACAGTGAATTCCAACGAGACAAATTGAAGCCGGGCAGACGTGCGTGCCATAGCAGGCCGTCGCTAGGACGTAGGTGCAAGCGCTAGCGAGAGGCGCGACGTAGCCATGATGGCTGTCCACTACAAGCAGCACTACTGAGCAAAGGCAAGTAGGTCGCTCTTTAGGAGTTCAGTTCAGTTAATTTGGTAAGGATAATAGGCAAAGCCTTTGAAAACCCTATTGATTACATGTCAGCTCGTTAGAAATAACTGTACACGAACAAAAATGTTCACTATTAAAACAGTACTTGGTTCATTTAAGTAGCATTGTCTCGGAGAAAATATTTGTCTGGACCAGGGGTATTAATTCGGATTCAGACTGTCGAGGGAAAACAGGGGGCACAAATAATCATCCAAGCGTTTCTTGAAGAGTTGCACGGATGTAGCCTCCACGACTGACTGAGGGAGATCGTTCCATTTCTCCATTACCCTCTGCGTGAAAAACTCAGAACGAAGATTCAGCCTGGACATTGTTGCCCGTAACTTCATCGAGTGACCACGAAGATTGGGTGAAAGGTGCCACTGAAACATGTCCTCAAATTTAAGTCCATACTCAAGGCCATGTATTATCTTGTAGACGAGGATAATGTCACCTCTTTGCTGCCTGTAACACAGAGGGAATAAATTAAGGCAATTCAGTCTTTCTCTGTAGGAGTGGCTTTTTAGACCGTTTACCAGCTTTGTTGCACGTCGTTGTACTCGTTCGAGGAATGCTTGGTCCTTTACTAGCCACGGCCGCCATGCTTGTATGCCATATTCTAAGTGGGGCCGAACAAATGTGCCGTAAACTCTCCCAAAAAGGTCTTGGTCAAAGTTAACGAAAGCCCTTTTTATTGCATGCAGCACTCCCATGGCGTTTATTGCAGCCTTGTGGCTCTGCGGTGTTGGTTTCAGGTTGTTCTGTATCCAAACCCCGAGATCCTTCTGTGAAGATTCTGCGGGGAGCCTTATATCTTTCAGGTGATATGTCCTCAGGCTCTCATTTGAATGAGAGTTGGTTGGACGCAGATGAAGGATGGCACACTTCTCCACATTGAAATCTAGAAGCCATTTCTTCGACCACGCTTGCAGTCGGTGCAGATTATCTTGAAGGGATCTCTGATCGTTCGGACCCTTAATGACTTGCCAGAGTTTAACGTCGTCTGCAAACGTTATTTTGCCGCAGTCGAGTTCCTGAAGTCTGTCGTTAACATAAAGGATGAAGAGCAATGGTCCCAGAACTGAGCCTTGCGGCACACCACTGGTCACATTCGCCCATTCCGACATATCATCCCCGACACAGAGACGTTGTTTCCGACCAACCAGAAACGCCCTAATCCAGTTCAGAAGATCTCGCCGGATGCCGATGGCGCGACGTCGCGATCTGTCGGGCTATTACGATATGCAACTTCCAGATCATCGGCACACACGAAGGGCTTACCATTCTGAAATAAATCTGGTACATCGTTTACAAAATGGCAAGATAATAGGAGGCCGAGAACACTACACTAAGTGATTCCGCTCCACACGCGTGGGAGTTTAGGGATACCATTAGAAGTCTTAACTCGTCATTTGCGAGCGTCCAGGTAAGGGTATAACACATTCAGTAGCTTACCACCTACTCCGAAAGAGGAAAATTTCAAAATACTAAAGCTTAAGGTCACGCCGCTGGTTTTAAATTTAAGGATAAGCGGAAGATATAATTTTAAGTGGATTTTTGAGAGACCTAACGATTTTGGCCACCACTTTTTGGTTAACTTTCCTTAAATACAGACCTATTCAATCAGAACTACCTGTTGTCATTTCCTTTTTGAGTTCTGCTAGTCTGGACCTGTCACCACCAGCCGCACTCTGTTATTCACATTTTGGGCATTTGATTTCTCTCTAATTGTATTTTTCTACATCGTTAGCCCCTAGCCGAAATTCAGTCACATGGTCTGTCAGAAGTTTTCTTAATTACAACTTGCCTCGAGACAATATGAGAGCAAAAGTCACAGGTTGGCGAAAGCTCTCGGCCTCTGTACGTAAACATAGCTTAATTAAATCTAATTCATAAGGCTTACCTAACTCTAAGCCAGATGAAATTAATAGTCAGTATTACTAATTTTCATCATCCAAGTGTAGTTTCATGTCTTTAAGTCCTGCCAAACTTCCTGGTCCCCTATTTTTCAGAATCACCCACTCTCAGATTGCTTCACCATAAAGGACCTAGGTCTAAGTTATACGAGTAAACTTGCTTTATCACCACATGCAGATATAATCTCTGCCATAGCCGCGCAGATATGCGGATTCATATCGCATAATTTTTTTCCTTCCAGAAATGAAGCTAAGACTTTATCAAATGTTTTTTCTTCCAGTCCTCAAATACTGCTGTCCTTTCTTTGGTTTAATGAACGCCTGCGACCGTAATAAATTCGAAAATTTTCAGAGGGTTTTCACGCGGAAACTGTTCTCTCAAGTCTCACCCAGTTTTTCTTATACTCAGAGATGCCAGCTGGCAAACATTAAGTTTTTGTGGGTAAGAAGACTCGAAGCTGGCCTTTGCTTCCTTTTTCGCATCAACTCTAGCTCCATTCTTCCTCACATTGACACTCTCACTCTGAGAGGTCGATCTTATGCCACGCGCAAATCCTCCTTGGTGATTCCGCCGCCGCCTGTTTGCACTACATCTAAGCGCTCCCTCTTCTTTGCTTCCAAATATGCCTTCCTTTGGAATAATCTTCCGCCAGAAATTAGGTCATCGTCTAAGTTATCGATATTCAAGTCGAAATTACGAAAACACCTTACACCGAAAAGCATAAAGGCACTGTTAACGGTCTCATTCCCGAACGCTCAGCTTCTTGACTTCGAGAAGGGTCCTCCTGGGATTTATTCTTACATCTAGCGGAAATCCTCACTAATATACTTGCAACCTTATGTTTTGAGTTGGTTACTATGTCCACTGTTCTCGCTCCTCCCCTATAGCGAAGATTTTCGTCGTTCTTGTTGTCATCTCTTCAGTTCGACCTCAAGTGGTCTGTAGACACTCACGGCGGAAACCTCTGTATTCGCCGTCTACTAGTAGTTTGGTCCTACTTCCCCTGCACACTCCTCGGCTGGGCTCGAAGCGGATTGTGGCCGAGCGCATTTTGGTTCCTCTTGTCCCGCCACTTTGACGCGAATAGTCTCATCCGGCGTAATAATTCTGCTGACATTAATTTCTGCCCATTTTCATTTTGCTTAACGGACTTCTAATCTCAAAAACTATGCATTGCACTTTGTGCAGATTTTGCCTACATCGTCTAAAATTTGCATGTAAATTTATGTTTACTTGCTTTGATGGGACCCCGACGGGTCTTTAATAAAATAATTGAATTGAATTGAATTGAATTGATGTCTGATTATAATCCATTTTTATCCTTTCATTGGGACAGTTTTATTCTCCTCCAAAGTTAATCCAATCATTTTTAAATTCATAAGTGTTTTTTTTTCACGGCTGGCTCATCATTTTTCTTCACGGACTACTATCTCAACAACTATAAATTGCATTTTGTACAGATTCGGCCTGCCTCGTCTAAAATTCATGTGAAAATTTTACTTTTTCTTGCTATGCCGATACCCTGAAGGGGCTTTATCTAAATCGGTTATTATAATTATAATTATAGTTATTAATAAAGTCTTTATCTACTTGATATATTTCAAAAATAAGTATCTACACTTTATCGTCCGATAAAGTTTGCTACCAGGGTTTAACTAGTAATGCAGGAGGATTTCAGATGGATCTGTGCATAGAAGCATAGAAAAGGTCCAAGACGCAAAAAGACCGTTGACTAGTTATTGAGGGCTTAGGAGCACATAAGGTTGTAGCCACTAAGCTGTGGCATTGGGGCCTCACTGCGCTACAATCATCACGTCGAATCCCATCTTGAGAAGAGAAGACATAAGGCATCAGAATGACGGCTTTAATGTATACAGAACCCGGAGTTGTCCTCTTTGACGTGTAGCAGCCGCTCCAGCCCCCCTTTTCTCCGGCTCCGTTTTGTCGGTCGATGGCCGCGACAAGCACTGACAGGCCGCTGACACACGACCACCCACACCGGCTAGAACTGGGACCCCTCCTGTCCAGCTGCAGTGACTCCCACCCGCCCTCACAACTAGTATCACCTTACGCGCGTCGAACGCTCTGGCTTGATTCCCGTGAGGCCTTGTGAGTATGCGCCCTCCATTCTCCCCCCCCCCTAATTTGTCCAATCACACGACCACCACTCAGACAGTCACTCCCTCCTGCTGACCCAGACACACACACCCGCGTAAACAACACACCGCGACTGACGCTCTCCCTGAACGGACGCTTTTCTCTGTTGCAAGCAATAAGCCAACTTACGGCAACCTGCCCTGTGTACAGAATAAACTAGTCCTCACAGCTCCCTGACTTCTGACAGTGGACGAAACGAACTTATTGTGCGTGGTTTAAGTTGATCTCACATCCTTGACCGCCACAGGCGGCAGTTACCACTGGCAAAGCCAGGGTCGGTGTTGGCTGCATCCAGTCATGCCTGAGAGTCCTTGGGACGGTGGTGGCAGCAGCTTATTTAACCTCGTGGGCCAAGCTCTAGTGGTCTCCAGTAGGCGTTTGTTACATTTGTCGTGGTGTGGTGTCACAATGGCCTAGATTGTGATTGCAGGTTGGAGGTGCGTTTACGTGACCGCAGGGGCAGCTGCGACGCTGTGAGAAAACAATTGTTTCCCAGCAGAAGTCGGTGGAATGGCTTCGGGTCAGTGAGTCTGGAGTGGCTCGCTGCAAGGGGTGACTGACCTTGGGAAGCGAGGTCTTCAGAAATGTGGCCAGACTGGTCATTATGGCTGGCCGCTGCAAGGTCGGCCCATCGGCAAAAAGGATACGGGAGTGTGATAGATTAAAGTCAAAATCAATGTAAAATAGGAGGTATTCACCATCTTGAAATTTTCCAAACAATAAAATTTTGAGGGCGGTCAGGCGAAATCATTCGGTTCAAAAAATGAAAACGTCAGCACCATAGAAGAGCTTTAGGACAATTTACGTCTCCGTATTTTTGATTTTACTGCGATGGCGAATACTTATTTTACAATGGGTCTCCAGATGACTTGAGATAAGACATTAAGGCAGTCTTGTCCGAAACATAGGGCGCATAAGTCCACATGGATGGTTAACCTGTATCTTTAGAGCATAATAATAATTTTTTACTCAAGACCCGTGCGGGTCCTCCCATAGCATAATGTATAAAGGTGAAAAGATTTAACACGGACAAGCGTAGTAGAGTCAAAAGACGTTACAATTCAAGTAGAGGAAGAAACTTCCATAACCGAAATCAAGCCTTATATGAAAAAAATTAAATAAGATGATTTGGACCCTATGAACTCGAGAGGAGCTTTCGGTAGTTCAGGGCTTCCAATTCTGCCAACAGGCCAGGCGAGGCACCACAAAGAGGGATTTAAAACTGGAACGAAAATCAAAACCAGTAGTTGCATATTACGAAGAGCAATAGTGAGTTGAAAGATGGTTGACATCCATTGCGGGATCTTTCAGACAAAATTGACACGGGAATGTCTTGTAAAAAACTGCGATTTTACTTTGTACGCTGACCCACTGTTACTCTTTACACAGCTAACTGTATCTTTCGCAATCCCGGCCCACATTAAAGGTCTATGCATATTCGTACAAAATAATGTGGACTGCAGATCCTAAATAAATGTCCTGCCTTAACCGTACTCTGAGCACATTTAACCATATAAATGCCGAGTTAGCTTCGTAGAGCACAATCGCAAGCAGTTCGCGTGGTCCATTCTGTCGCGCACTTCGACGCAATCGCAGTCATTATTTGCTGTCAGATCTGACAAACTGGGTTTCATCAAGTAAATATTTCGAACTTTTTTATTTGAAGCTCTGAGATGAAAATCTTAGTTTACTGATTTATGCATTTTGCAATTTTCGAAAATATACAGAAGTCGGCTAGCCGACTATATGCACACGAGAACTTCTGTCAACCGTTAAAGCTTTATTTACCTCAGAAATAAAGTCCTGTAGAATTATCGGGATATGACTTTAGAAATATGACTTTTGGCCATTTTGGCTCCCAACGAGCTGTTTTTTTTGAAGTCTATGTTTTGCATGTGAAAGTCACCTGCTGCAGTCGCACTTTTGGTCGTCGTTTTTCCTCCTTAAACGCTTTATACTAAAATTTTAATTTAAGAGGACCTTACTGATTTTTCTCCTTAGGTATCCACTTGAGTGGAACTTAGTAAGAGGGTGTTTTCGTGATTTTTGCGACTTTTGGATTTTCATCGCATTCTCCTTCCGGATTTTGACTAATAACCAGTGTTTAATGAATGCTTTGATTGACTTTTCAAAATATGTCGTTTTTAGAAGGCATTTACTTTTGCCACAAGTACGCAACCGTTCATAAAAATGGTCTCGTAGCTTGTCTGATTATTAACTCACGCTTGAGGCCGAACTTGATCATAGCGACTTAATGTTCAGGTGATTCATACAAAGTCTTTCTCATCGTCAATGCACTTATAGGCGGCTTTGCTTTTGCGTGGGTGTAACCGAATCACGAAATCTGTGTGTTTTTAATTTGTTCAGCTGTTTTTACTTCAACACTTCCGGTCTTTATTTAGCAGCTGATTCTATTTATCTCTTTACAAATTATTCCAAACTTCCTTTGGTCTAGCTGACTTAAATTGATTTCGATAATTTTTTTCAGTCGTATTATCGTTCAACATGTTATTTCTGTTGTGAAATTTGTGCTTACATTGTTTTATCCTGCTCGCCTATTTTCTACGCATTTTTCCTCCGATAGCACACACCTTCCTTCTATATAGTCCGTTACACAAATTCTGCCTGCTTCCTGTCCCGATTATTTCCCTATTCGATTGGAGTTTTCAGCGTCTTTGTATTTCGTGGTAACTTAACCTGAGTAGAAATCGACAACGTAGACTGGAATTCTGGTTTGCCCGTTAGTCTAGCTGCTACTGAACCGGCGCATCCGTCAAATGCGGAGATCGAAAAGGACTTTTAGAAGGCCAACTGTGCACTGATAAATCAACATTCGCGTATTGAAAACAAACATTCGCGAATCGGTAAGGACAATACTATCGGGTTGCGCAGAGCTCAGGTCGGACATATGGACTGTTATATTGTGTTACGCCGCGCTGCCTGATGATGCATACAAGCTTCTTTGGCTGCTCCTGTCTTTTTATTGAATTTAGCTGACCATACCTTTAGGTGAGACAATCGCTAACAAACAGTGTTGTCTGCTATCCTGGACTTCTCTGCCATACCTTTCCCAGAAACCCAGTAAAACCTTCCAAATACCCCATAACAAATAATTGTATGGTTTCCAGGGTGGTCGAAAGTCACCACCATCCCGCCCCAATGCTTCGGGTGCTGTCCTTTTGAATGCGACAATGCTGTATAATTTCTTCTATGAGAGGCGTAAATCGAGATTTCGGCAAACGTACCCGTACTGCAAAGGGGACTGTGCGAATGGCTAGAAGCCATCTATAATATGTGGGATATCTTTAAAGATCGGTGGCGTAACAATTTTTAAAGGACTACTTGGGGAAAAAGAGGGATTTATATGCAGTGGACCTGGTTCAAACTTCAGGTCCTGAGGTTAGGCTACTGATGTCTTACGATTACAAATAATCCTTTCCTTGAAGATCTGGTCTTTCTGACCATTGAGCTTTATGTTGAGCACTCTGCTATCTAGTCCTGGGCTCCTACCTCGTCATCTGCAGTCGATCAATGACTTATGGCCGACTGAAGACTGCGAAATAGCGGAGACGCTCTCTACGTTTTCTATTGTCTTCATCGGGTACATTCCTTGAGTGTCGATTGCTAATCACTATGCGGTTGACTGCGTGAACTGCAGACGAGAGCTTAAGGTCAAAATTTCGTCTTGTCTTCTGAATAAAAAGACGAAAATAGTAAGCGCTGGTTTTTTCAGAGGCCGCGAGATGTACCATGCAAACTGTATTCGTTATCACATGAAATTTTAGCTCGTTTTCCTGTCAGTCGTGGTCGGAAATATTCGTAGCTCAGGTGGCTAGATCGTTGGGTATACTCAAGTCTTCCCCCAACTGTCGTGGGTTCAAATCCCGCCGAGATCGCCGTGGTTTTTGCAGTTGGGTCAAATTAAATTATTTAAAATTTGTCAAAACACCTAGTTCAGAACACTTGTAAACATGGCGTTCATCGGCCGGGTTACAACACATGCTCGTTCCGTTGCGTTCTGGAGCTCGGTCTAGTTCCCTCGAAAGCATTTACATAGCGACCAGTAATATATGCAGGAAGAGGGTACCGACAAGGGCCTGGGAGTCCAGGGTAGCCATTCCTGGTCTATTAACTGTCATCAGCCAACCACAACCAATTCCAGTTGTGGAGCTTCTGGGATTTGAGCCCGGGATCTTTGTTATCGAGTCCGACACTATACCCTGCTCGCCCCGTTGCGCCTTTGCTTGTTCTAGAGCCCTCACAAGCAATCGTTCAGCGACCAACTGTGCTCGCATGATGGAGTACTGACAAGAGAAAGGGAAGCTGTGATGGCTGTTTCTGGCTTATCCGCAGTTGGCCAGCCCTAACATTCTGGTTAGGGTAACCTGGCATTCAAATCCGAAATGTTTTTCATTGGGCGTTTTAAGTTCAAGACTGTGCCATTTAATCACAGTCCCGTTGTTCTGTCGGTTACGACCAAATTGTAGGAAGTATCGCGGCTGGGACTCGAAAGTAGGCGAGAAAGACGTTCAGTCATCTGGCAACCGTTGCTTATTCATCTATTCTTCCTCGCTCAAGCCTATCTGCAAGCATAAAGTTAGCCCGTAACTTAGTTCGTATTAGACCACTTTTTGTGATAAGTGATCTCAAGTTGCGTTTCTTTTTCCTCACTGACCGGTATGTCCGTTGATTGAGTTGTCTATCTTCTTTCACTCCTTATGGGACGGACCATCTGATTGGCTTCGAAACAGTGTGCTAGGCAGAAGTAGATATCCACAGCTTTGCTCTTATAGGTTCTGTCTGGACTTGTCTAACAAGCCGACCAACCTAGTTGACTATGCTATAATTCTAGTCGGCCGTTGAACCTGATGCTCATTTACCAAAGAGTTGGACCCCTATATCAGATTATCCAAACCTGAGGTCAAGTATGGCTGGCTAACTACGACTAGTAAGTCGTAACTGACATTCTTAGTCTCACTTGTTTTTTTTTTCTGTACTCCCTCACTTGTATACCGACGCAGAACGCATGCAAAAAAGAGCCACTTCATAGAGCGGACTGAAGTTTTTTCTTCCTAAACAGGATGGGAAAATAAGTATTTTCATGACGCAGGACCTCTCACAGGCTCTTCGTCTTGTCATAACCGAGGGGACAGCGAGTCCGTTGTTCAATGGCGGACCGTTGGACTGCTTACTGCCTAATAGCCAAAGGATTCGACTTCGAGTCCCAAATAATCCAGACCTGGGGTTGGGTGTGATTGGCTGACGATGGCTAATATGCCAGAAATGACCATTTCAGTCTCCCTTGTCTTAGTCGATACTGTCAGTCTGCAAATATGCATATATTATCGGAACATGCTCGTCTCGTTGTACCTTGGGATTTAATATAGGGCTCTCGTAGGCAGTTGCATAGGGACCAGTAGTGTAGGTTGAAGGGGGTTCCGACTAAGACAAGGGAGACTGGAATGGTCATTTCCGACCGATTAGCCGTCATCAGCCAGCCATACCCAGCCTCACTCCTGTGCAACATCCGAAGTTCAACCCCGCGACCTGTTGGCTAGAAGTCTAACGCCTCTAACCACTGAGCCACGAGTTCGTTTCCTGTCGATTGCGATCGGATATTTTAACAATGGTAGAGGGACCCAACAACTGCGTTACAGGATATACTTATCCCCAGTGGTGGACCAACTGCGCCAGTTCTTTGTGCGCATGTCTGTGTTTCCGGTCCCAACTAGTGGTTAGGCGTATTATTGGCTGAATGGACGCAAACAAATCCGAGACAGTTCTGTATCAGCCTACCCCCCGACTCTGTCGTCCCCCTCTTATGTGTATATATACACTACTAATAGAAGCGAAGATGTGAGTTCCGAACATAAATGAAAAAAGGGCGACCTCGGGGACCGTTATTGTATTATCCTGACGCTTGAAATGCAGACAAGGTTCCATCGTCGGAGGTATCGCACCGCGTCATAAGGTATTTATAGGAAGTGACAGTCCTGTTACCAAGAAGTTAGTTATACGGGTTTATCTTATTAGTTTTGAACTATGCGGTTGCAGTGTGCCGGGAAGTCGTCCGCGAATAGGGGATTACGCATTTGCAAAATGTGATTAATAAACGGTCCAGAGAACAACGAGCAGAACGAAATGCTGGGCTGGCGGAAGAGAACGACTTCCTAGTCCACAATCAGTCCCCCAACCGCTGACACCTGAACAACTGAAATCGCTGAGTCACGCCTCGCGGCCACAGTTGAATCAATCGTTAAACAGAGCGGGGAGTCCGACGAAACAAAACATCTCATTTGGCAACAGGTAACCACCTTAGTGATGGCGCACAAAAGTCATCGTCAAACGAAAAATGACTGAAGCATTTCATAGTGTCCTGACTTCCGTTTTCCCAGGCATCCAATTCATAATAGAGGCGGAAAGCAACAACTACCTGCTGTCACTGTCCATCGAAAACCTGACGAGTACCTGAAACGACGCACATACACACACGCCAAATCCTAAGTTACTACAGCAATTATCCGTTATGTCACGGACGCATTTCTGTGCGAACTCAGCAGAAGGGCAGGAACACACTGCAGCTTCCCGGACGACAAAAGGACGGATACTCCCGTAAGTTGATCGAGCGTGGCAGGCAGTCTAGCCCGAGCCGAAATCCGCCGTACATTGCCATGCAGCGACGTCGTCTTTGAGACCGTTTCCGGCCGTCCAATGTCGTTGCGGACTGATATCGCTCATTGACGGGAGTCAACCATTCGATATCTAGTTATGAGACCTAAGGCTACCCTGGCACGAGTTGAAACGAAACTCGCCATCTACGGGGTCCCTTGTAACTCCTGCGAAGTCAACTACATCTGAGAGTCAGGCAGATGATTACGGATCGAAGACATGCGGACGGTGTGGTGAATGGACTCATTGTTTCTGGCTCTGGCACGGACTCTGGGCAGAACGCCGAAAGTCTGGGTCGAGGAAATGGCCGCGTAATCAGGGAAGCAATTGAGACCTGGCACATCGAGACTACCTCAATCAACCGTGGTGTCATTTATTCGGACAGCCTACCAAACCCTCCGGATGCACCTCAACGAACGAAAGAGCAAACCCCAAGGTAGGTCAAATGTGAAGCCACATACGGAAGAACCTACGACGGACGTGCACGCAGCCACACCACAATTCGAGCCCGACGAAGGCACAGTCATTAATCATTACTACTTCGGCATACGGGAAGAAATGCCGTCAGAGGGACGCAAACAAGACTGACAACCTAGGGCGACAGTTAAGGTCAGTGTGGATACGGGTGATGGCCGCCAACGTTGAAACGTCGCCTTCCGACGGGAGACATGCAGATTGACAACAGTCATTCTCCTTCCCCCTAGCACGGTTTCTGAGGTCATTTTCTCTTCTCATGCAGGATAGCATTACCGACAAAGACAAGGGAGACTGGAATGACCACTTCTACCTTGTTAGACGTCATCAGCCAGCCGAACCCAAGCCGACGTGTGCTTATACAATTAGCCTCTGAGCAGACTGGCGTCATTACTTCTGTCACAGTCTGGAACTTTCTGATTTCTTCCTACTTTAAGTTTGCAGTCAGCCCTAGTGTGTCCGTTGTTGACTAATCTCGGTATTCACGTGTGTCCACATCACCTATTTGCTGCCTTGGTGGCCTCCCCCAGTCGGCACGAGCCAGGTTGTTTCCTTATTTTTGCGCTGCCAACTTCGCTTCCCTGCGCTTTGTGAGTCATGCCTGTCCAGTGGACTGCCTTCTGTTGCTGTAGCTTGTAATGAGAAAGTAGGATGAAGTTTGATTTGGCAGCGGTAAACACATCTTTCCGTCCCGCGGCGGCTGACGCCGAAGCCAGCTCGCTCTTACACAGCGTCTGTATACTTACCCAAACCCCTTGTGTGGAAGTGGGTCGCACCACTACCATCATTAGCTCGTAGTCCGCGCAGACTATTCGTGCAGTCATTCTTACATCCCAAGGACTGAATGTTAGGCTAAACTGCTGCTCACTGTGACCCCTATGGCACTCTCGTTTACGCGATATCCTCGTCTAAACCTGTCACGCATAATACTATGGACAAGCTCGTGTGTTGCACGCGTAGACTAACTCACACCCATCTCAAGTCACGCTGTCACCGGAACGCGATAGTTTTGGATTAGAGAGCGGGACGGACGCCGCGCAAGTATGCGTCAGTATGGACAAATTCGCGCGCAAGCCACCACTTCGCCCTATTGACGGTCGTCATCGTTTACAAGGGCGAGCTTTTATGTGATGGGAGCAATTTGAAGCCAGCCTTTTAATAACAATGGCGTCCTCCGGTTCAGAGGGGTTTTTGAGAGGCTTTGTAGTTTTGTTCATCAGAAGGCAGATACCAGTGGAGGCTGCGAATGCTAACGTGTGCTGACGCAATTACCATTTTTTACCCCGGCCTATTGTACTCTTAGTGACTTAATTTTGTGCACTGTTTGGTCTTCCTTGTGTAGAGTTTTCGTCGGCACATAGTCGAGATCGTCTCCCCCCTCGCTCCTTTGTCCTGCTGCTTTAGAAACAGTTTGTCGTAGTCTTTTGTTGTATTCAAAATGTTACCTTTTGAGCACATCTCCCAGTATGGGTGGGCTCTCAGTGTGGAGACCGGATTGACTGCACCTTTGTCAGTTATTCGGAAGGAAATTTTTCCAGAAGACCCTTGAGCAGGGTCGTAGGCCCCCATTCCCTTCGTTTGCAAAACCAAGCGAAGACGGTCCACGGCTGAGTGAACGGCCACGAAATTCGACAATATCATCTTTCTCAACTTTATCCCTGCTATTGAGAGACACCAGGTGTTGTCGCGCTGCACAGGTCGTCATCGCCACCACGGGGGCCGCATTGTGCGACTGCAGCGAGTAGGCTGCGGACGAGCACTTGTAAGGTTGTTCTGTCTGTTTAAAGACCCCTGGGAAGAAAAAAAAGCCTACGAAAATACCAGGTTATAGGGCTTGAACCACTGGCGAAGATTTAACAGTCCAAAAAATTTAAACAGGACATTAACTTTTCTTCCGAGACGGCCGGTCTCCTTCCCACCGTTCTCCTTTTATTTTCACTGTCGTGATTGGTGTGACATGATGTGTGTCAGGATTGGTGAGAGACCGGTTTGATTGCTCGTCCGGTTCCTGTTTTATATCTCCAGGCTCACCACTGCCATGTTGTCCGGATCTTGTAACTCAAGTATTGCTTGCTTGTCTGTCACCTGCAGTCTTTGGCCATAGGCAGTAGATCCAGCTGATATCTCCTCCCTCTTCCCAGATCGCTGTTCCGGAATCCTTGCTTTGAATCCACTCGCATTAAGAGTTAATTGCTCTAAATCTCACGGTCCCCCCAATTACCTCGCCCACTGTCATCTCGTTCGCTTTTACAGAGGTGCCGAGCGTCATGGTCGGCTTCCGAGGATCTACGGGAGGAACCAGCGTGAGTCGATCAGCCAGCCTTCGGGAGCAGATAACCCGGGCCCTGCAGGCGGACCTCCTCCTGTTGCACCAACCCACCCCCAATGCCTTCATCCTCCTCGACCCCAACCCGCCCTCCTGTCAGTGGGTGGAGCAGCCGGGCCAGCCCACCAGCCGTCAACGCTTCCGTGTCACTCTAGGCAGTCAGCACTGCACCTGCTCAACTTTTACCAGAGCCGGCCTTCTCTCCGCCTGTCCTGTTGCCACCACTAACGCCGTCTCGCCATGCGTGCATGTACTCTTCGTCATGCTGAGGGTGCTTCGCCTCAGTCTGGATGATCCGCGAATCCTGAAGACGAGCCTGGAAAATCACGAGGTTTGAGCGCCCCCACCCCCCTACTTCTTCTGCATTGCGTTTCCCACTCTAAGGTGCGCGTAGGAGAGGAGTCATGTCAGGTCTGGTACCAACATTTTACACCACAGACGACTATGTCATAATCTGGCTTGAGCATGTTTGATACAAATGGGTTTTTAGCCGCGCAGCTCCTCTTTTGCGTCTATGCGAGGTTTTCTCCCCAACCGGCAATTTGCTGTGGTGCAACTCTGTGGTGGGAGAGTAGAATATTTAGTGGAAGTACACAATAGCGGTGTCGCAGTGTTTTTTTGAGCGACTTTTCTGCCAGACACTTAAGCCTGGTAGTGCCGTCGCAACTAGCCCACGCCTGCTTATTCACGCTAAAATGGTAGAGGGGCGCTCACCGATCGCGTTACAGAACTCAGTCGTCTCGATCACCACCGACAGGACAACGAGCCCGCGGTTCACTGGTTAGAGGCGTTGGACTTCCAGCTAGGAGGCTGCGAGTTCGAGCCTTGGGTGTTCCACACTTCGGGGTTGGGTTCGACTGGCTGACGACGGCTAATAAGCCAGAAATGGTCATTCCAGCTTCTCTCGTCTTGGTCGGTAATAAAATACTGCCTATATCGTGCGCCGCTGTGCGGCTGCTGGTTGGGCTAGAGAGAGAGCCCGTAAGGCACAACGGAACGAGTGAGTTCCGTATGAACGATCGGTGAGCGCCTCCTACCATGGTATATTCCCGATCGAAAACCGACAGGGCAACGGGCTCTTGGTCCAGTGGTTACAGGCGTGGACTTCTCACTAACAGGTCGCGAGTCCGAACCTCGGGTGTTCCACACTTCGGGGTTGGGTATGACTGGCTGAAATGGCCATTCCAGTCTCCCTCGTCTTCGTTGGTAATGCTATTCTGCCTATATTCACACATCGTTAAAGCCTGCTAGCATTTGACGAAGGCCAACCCGCAATCCGGCCGTTGAACGCTCGGGAACCAACAGTCAGCCCGTAAGACAGGCCCGTTTTCCTCCCCCCTCTCTCTCTCCCACTCTCCCCTTTCTCAGTAACTTGCTGACTGGTCTTGGGTACGCTGACGTCTGAAACTACCCAACAATGACCTCGAAAAGTGGGGAAATTTGTCGGCGCTAACAAGCGTCACATCATTCCGCCCGTGTTTCATTGTCGGTTCTCTTACTATTGCACTTCTTGTAACCGCTTCGCTTTCATCCCACCCCCTCCCCAGTTTGAGGGCGATTTTCGGTTCCTCCCATTCGACAACGTTCAGACGTTAGCTCTAAACCGACGCCTATGTTTTGTCATGGATGGGCTTCAATGGATTTATATTTCGTCTAGAGAACAGAGCCGGTTTTGACACCCGCGCAAACCGCATATACCCCATTAAGTTGCTGTTCAGACAGCCATAGCTATCACCACGGAGTTAGGCCAGGCGTTGTGGTGTTACTATTATTATTGATAGTATGTAAGTTTCCATGTGTTGAGTGCTGCCCGCGAAGTTTAGGTGTGCGCTCCGTTTGCTACTGATGGCCCAGCGACCGACAGTGCGCCATTTTATATAGACGAAATGTGCGCCGGGCGCTCCACCGGGTTGTATTCTATTAAATGGCAAATTAATGCCACTATCTCTTCGGGCTTTCAAGTCGTCTCTCGTCCGGGTGGACCCTAGGAGGACGTGCTCAGTCGTTTCTACGCCAGTTCTTGATGGCATCATAGGTAACTCGGCCTATTACCTTCCACCGATTGTTAATTGTCGAGTGCGGCCGCTCCGCGGTCGGTAAAGGCGCACTCGTTCGGTCCTCTAAGGTATTTTTTTCTCGGCATCTTTTTTTTAGCTATTTTTTCAATGCTTGCCGTAGACCGTTTTCCAAAAGTAGCACTTTCGTGGCTTGGTGTTCCTAACGGCCGCTTTCCCTCCACGTGCTCCAAACTGTGTGTGTGTGCTCGGTCTGCTTCGTTGCTACTTACTCCCCAACGACCAGGGCTTCCGGTATCACTGGGAATGCAGCCGACGCTTGCTACTGCTGATAACAATGATAGTGGTAATGCTGCTGCTGCTACTGCTGCTGGCGATGATGATGATGATGATGATGATGATGG